CCGCTCAATGGTTTAATGTTATACCAGTAATATCTGAAAGAAATGTTAGGGTTATTTTTCTATTTTACCCAAATTTCGCCGAAAAATTGACATTATATAAAAATAATCACATTTTGTGTATAAGTATACGCCTTGCGGATTATATCAAGGCCCTTGCGATAAATCTTGGGGTTCTATAAATAGGAATAAATCTTAAAATAAAATAATATTATGAAATATATATTTTAAATTGCGTCTAAATCGCGTAATTATCGAAATCATTTGATGCGAATGCAGTTTCCAGGAAGTACTGAAGTTTATTTTCCAATCCGTGTATATTTTGCGAAATTTCATTTGACGGCTAAGATGTACTACAAGTTACATTGAAGTACTCAAAAACTCGTAAAACGTGAATAATTTCCGAAAACTCCATATGCCATTAACGTGCATCCTATTTCAGTGTGCACACTAAAAAATATATCGATCTATACCGATTTTAATGTGGTCCATTAAGAACCGTGTATGTGCCAGCTCACACTATTGTTGAGATAAATTGGGTACATCTCTCTTTCGGCTGAAGTTTTTAAAGTTCTCTTTTCGAAAAAGATCAAAATCCGTATGAGGTCATTTATTGAAGCGGAGATGATCCACAGAAAACGCAAATAAATCCGCGATATTTTCAAAAACATTTTTTGCCAAATTTCGTGTTTTTGGAAGGCCAGTTACCGCCGTTCTAGTAGATGGATTTTCACGAAGAAGATTTTATATCATCCGAAATGTAAAAAAAACCTTATTGATCGCGGGTATCCATATCATTCAGTTGACAGATCTAAAAATTTGGTCCGAAAAATAGGTTTTTTTAGAAATTTGATCGCACAACATTTTCACCATCTGATGAGTATTACTCTGAAGCTGTGCATGCTACAAACACAAACTACAGATTCGCGACTACAATAATCTTATAATCGATTTTTAGAAATTCCTGTTTGCGTATTAAAGCTAGAAGTAAAACTAAAAAAACACTCAAAATCGAGTTTCAAAATGTCAGCACCATTTAAAGGCAGATGCAGTTAAAATTTGAAAAATGATACATAAGGGGCGTAGACCCCATTTTGTTGGCTTCTAGTTTTAAAGTAGACACAGCTTTCACCCAAATATAGTTTGGAGGTCAATATCATGAACAGTTTGCAACGACAGATCAATTAACTCAAAACTATTCACTTTTTTCATATACTTAAGTAGTTCCCGAGTTATAAAGGGGTGAACCTCCGCTTCAGCTATGTTAAAAAATTGGCAATATTGCCCATATACAGATATATATTTAATGTAAAATTTATCGAAATACTTACTGTACAGTTTAATGGTCCCATCCATTTCACCTCGTGGATTTTTGGCGACACACTTATAGCTGCCGTAATCACTTTTCTGGACATTCGTTATGTGTAGGCGCATAGTGGCCTTGTATGATGGATTGCCGGGTATTGTCTCCGTTCTGGACACATGGACATTATAAAGATAAAATACAAAAGGAGGTGTATGAAAATTAGTACGTATTTTTATATAGATTTTCTATTTCAAAAAGGAAATATCATATTTTTAAAAGATAATATACTCATAACTAAAAAAATATTTTTTTAAGATAACACCCTCATAATTTTTCAAAAACACCCTTATCCGGAAAAACCCCAAAAATCGTTATTTGAATTTTTCTTCCGCTTTCCTAAGAATTTTAATATTTATTTTTTCTATTTTTCCTATTTTATATGAATACACCTTTTAAACATTCCCCATTCAAAAGTCATTAGACTCATAAATAAAATTGATTTAAATATTTTTATTTCATTTTTTTTTAATTTTACCGCATTTTGATAACCAAGATCATGTAAATTATGCAAATATATATTTTGTGACATTTATTAATACATTTAACTTGCCTGCCTTTTACATTAACAATGAAATGTGAGTAGTAAAAACAAACATAAAAGAAAAATCCACAATGGAAGTAGATGAAAATATAAGAGAATAAGTCGTAAATATTTGAGAGTAACATAGGGTGTCCTGGAGGCGTGGATTTTAAAAATAATTTTTTCAGAGATTTTAAATCCGGGACCTTCAGAAGGCGTGGATTTTTAAAATAATTTTTTCAGGGACCTCCATAAGGCGTGGATTTTTAAAATAATTTTTTCAGGGACCTCCATAAGGCGTGGATTTTTAAAATAATTTTTTTCAGGGACCTCCATAAGGCGTGGATTTTTTAAATAATTTTTTTCAGGGACCTACATAAGGCGTGGATTTTTAAAATAATTTTTTTTCTGAGACCTGTATAAGGCGTGGATTTTTAAAATAATTTTTTTCAGGGAATACAATAGGCGTTGATTTTTAAAATAATTTTTTTCAGGGACTACAATAGGCGTGGATTTTTAAAATATTTTTTTCAGGGACCTCTATAAGGCATGGATTTTTAAAATAATTTTTTTCAGGGACCTCCAAAGGCGTGGATTTTTAAAATAATTTATTTTCAGGGACCTCCATAAGGCGTGGATTTTAAAAATAATTTTTTTCAGGGAACTCCATAAGTTGTGGATTTTTAAAATATTTTTTTCAGGGACCTCCATAAGGCGTGGACTTTTAAAATAATTTTTTTCAGGGACCTCCATAAGGCGTGGACTTTTAAAATAATTTTTTTCAGGGACCTCACCCTATTATTATTGTAATAAAAAGAAATCTTATTTGCAATGAATATTTCCTTTAAATGTCAATGGACAACACAATGGGACAATAGAGTTACACACGTAATCTGATGAGGATGATGATGAGACTGGCGAATGGCAATAATGATGAAGATGGTGACCGACACCAGAATGGTGACACAACGAAGACAATATAATCCAATAGATGAGAAATGGCGACGCCAGTCATATTTATGAAGTGGCTGGACGGTTCTGATGATGATTATGATGACCTTGACAATGTATAAAGAACAGTTATTTTGCGGGAGCTAGACAAACGGTAATATGAGATAATATATTATGGTGTTAACAACAAGGGGAACATACAATATATTTGCAAATTTAATTAAGACCCTTGAAAAAGTTCTTTAAAAAAATCCACGCCTTGTGTAAGACCCGTAGAAAAAAATCTTTAAAAAAATCCACGCTTTGTGTAGGACCCCTAGAAAAATTCTTTAAAAAAATCCACGCCTTGTGTAGGACCCCTAAAAAATTCTTTAAAAAAATCCACGCCTTGTGTAGGACCCCTAAAAAATTCTTTAAAAAAATCCACGCCTTGTGTAGGACCCCTAAAAAATTCTTTAAAAAAATCCACGCCTTGTGTAGGACCCCCAAAAAATTAATTTAAAAAATCCACGCCTTGTGTAAGACCCCCAAAAAATTAATTTAAAAAATCCACGCCTTGTGTAGGACCCCTAAAAAATTCTTTAAAAAAATCCACGCCTTGTGTAGGACCCCTAAAAAATTCTTTAAAAAAATCCACGCCTTGTGTAGGACCCCTAGAAAAATTCTTTAAAAAATCCACGCCTTGTGTAAGACCCCTAAAAAATTAATTTAAAAAATCCACGCCTTGTGTAAGACCCCTAAAAAATTAATTTAAAAAATCCACGCCTTGTGTAAGACCCCTAAAAAATTAATTTAAAAAATCCACGCCTTGTGTAAGACCCCTAAAAAATAAATTTAAAAAATCCACGCCTTGTGTAAGACCCTTGAAAAAGTTATTTAAAAAATCCACGCCTTGTGTAAGACCCTTGAAAAAGTTATTTAAAAAATCCACGCCTTGTGTAAGACCCTAAAAAAATCCACGCCTTGTGTATGAAAAAAATTAATTTAAAAAATCCACGCCTTGGTTGAGGTGCCAAAAAATTGATTTAAAAAAAAATCCACGCCTTGGTTGAGGTGCCAAAAAATTAATTTAAAAAATCCACGCCTTGTGTAAGACCCCTAAAAAATTAATTTAAAAAATCCACGCCTTGTGTAAGACCCCTAAAAAATTAATTTAAAAAATCCACGCCTTGTGTAAGACCCCTAAAAAATTAATTTAAAAAATCCACGCCTTGTGTAAGATTCCTAGAAAAATTCTTAAAAAAAAACCACGCCTTGTGTAGGACCCCTAGAAAAATTCTTTAAAAAAAATCCACGCCTTGTGTAAGACCCCTAAAAAATTGATTTAAAAAATCCACACCTTGTGTAAGACCCCTAAGAAATGTATTTAAAAAATCCACGCCTTGTGTAAGACCCCTAAAAAAATTTATTTAAAAAATCCACGCCATGTGTCAGAACCCTTAAAAAGTTCTTAAAAAAAAATCAAGCCTTTGTAAGAGTCTGAAAATTTGTTAAAAATTATTTTTTTTTTAAATATATATTTTTGTTTGTTTTATGTCTTATGTGTAACCAACCATATCGATTTTTGTTTCTGTAGCGCCCACCCTGATAACTGATAACGCCGTATTTTGACCATTCTATCTCTCAATTTTGTTCAGATTTTTTTCAAAATATAAATAACAAAAAATCCGTTCTATGAATAGATTTGTTAATGAAAAACCCAGAAGAAATTTTGAAAAAAGAGCAATGGAGAGAGGCAAAAAGAGAGCCAGTTTATGGACTCAATGGCCGGTGAAGAGCCCAGACAAGAAAAAATAAATAAATATTCTGAAGTGCGGGGTCACAATACACATTTTTTTTATTTTGAAAAAAATTCAAGACGCATAAAAATTGAGTAGAAAAAAAATAAACATTTGATAGACAGCATAGCTGGCAATTGAAAAAAATTCAAAATCAGATTAGTTGCAGCCAACAAGTGTTTGAAGCTGGCAGTTAAGTTGGAATTTTCGAGGCGAACAACATTTTGAATAAAAAAATATTTACCGGTGAAAACCTAAAAGAAAAAAAAGAAAAAAAAGTTTGGAGAGGTTGTGGAGAGCCTCCTAGAAAAAAAAAAAATTGTGAAAGAAAAGCCTAAAAAACAACATTTTTTATCCTCCTCCAAAGGACTTGTGTCCTTTTGTCTGCACCATGCTCAAGCTGAGCATTGTCTTTGGCCTGTTGGCGTCAATAATCTGGCGCACCACCCCGACAAGCTGTCGCCAGACCCACAATCAAACCCAAAACATCAATCAATTGGCGGCCATCAACATTGAACGCTACATGGATGGGGACCAGCAGCGACCCTGCGACAATTTCTATCAGTATGCCTGTGGCAAATGGTATCAAGTGCATATCGATGAAATGGATTATGGTGATGTACTGGGCCTGATGAACAATGAATTGAATAAGAAGCTGGAGCATTTACTACGAAAATCACCCAATGGCCAGGGTGGAAGCGGCAGTGATGAACAACCGCCACAATCGGTCACCACCACCCCAGAGAATAGTAGTCAGGGTTCCGGCCTGATGTGGGAACAAATGTCATCGCTGTACAATAAAATCCGCACCTATTATAAGTCATGTAAAAAAGTCAAGCCGTATAATTTGAAGAAATATCTGCAGCTGATACAACCCGGTCCGGGGGTCCATTGGTATGTTTTGGCCAAACAGGGCGGCCGCAAATGGAATGCGGATAAATTTGATTGGCTAGAGGCCATAGCAAAGTTACGACTCTACGGTTTAAATGGGGTGCTGCTGAAAGAGCAGGTCCTACCTCGATGGGATGAATCCTCAACCATGAGTATTTATTTGGATAAACCGGATTTGGCGGAAACTTTGGCTATGGGTGAGGGGGTGATCATTGAACTGCTCATGGATATTGGTCAGACCAAACGTTTGGCCAATGAAATTGCCCGTGAGGTCAATAGGTTTGAATTTCAGCTACACAAGCTGCAGGAGCTGGAGGATGAAGAGGGGCCGAAGGAAATGCAGCTGGGTTATTTGCAGGAATATATGCCGCAAATTGATTGGTTGGCCTATTTGAAGGAACTCAAGGGTCCCGACACTGATCTAAGTACCACGGTCATTATTCAAAACATACCCTACATGCGTAGCCTGGTCAAGCTCCTCAACACCGTGGAACCTTCGACCCTATGCAACTACATTATGATAAAATTCCTGCTCTATCTCAAGACCCAGGGACCGGCAGAGATATCCCGGCAAGAATGTATTGCAAGTTTACGCCGGGCCATGCCATTGGCCATGAGTTATGTGGTGGGTCAACACTACTATAAGGATGCGGAAAAAACTGATGCCCAGGTCCAGAAGCTGTTTGAGCACCTCAAGGAGACCTTCTACAACATTTTGTCCGACAATCGCCTACAATTACCCGAGGCCATTGTCCAAACCCAATTGCAAAAAATCCAGGCCATGCAGCTGAGAATAGGCTTTGCACCGCGCAATGTTAGCGGTGATTACTTCAATCTCTACTACGAAAAAGTGACCCTGGATGCAAACAATTTCTATGCAAATCAATTGAGTCTGCTTCGCCTTATGGTCGAGCGCAGCCATGAAGCTTTGGATCCAATAAGTCATCAAAATCTGCTCAATGATGAAGCGGTGATCTCAGCCGAATGGGAGGGCTCCTCCTCCTCTCCATTGTATTTAAAACCCCGCAATATGGTGGTCATACCCTACGGCTTCCTACACATGCCCATCTATCATCGCAATCTCAAGGATATCTATAAATATTCGGTGCTCGGCTTTGCCCTGGCCCATGAAATGATGCATGGCTTCGATTCATCGGGCATAGATTATGATGCCAGTGGCAACATCATGGGTCCTAGTGAGGAGATATCCGCAAATCAGAGATTCATGCAAGGTTTGCGTTGCATGCAAAATGAACTGGCCACGGGTTCGAGGAGCCTCAATGAAAAGCTGGCAGATTATGAGGGGATACGTTTGGCTTTTACGGCCTATTTTTCGAATGCAAGGGGTAATGACACAAGTGGGGGAGGTGCTGGGGCAACAACAAAACATTTACGATCCCGTTTCCTTTCGCAATTCACCCCGCAGCAGGTGTTCTTTATTAATTTTGCCCAATTCTTTTGTGGCAAGGTCCATCCGAAGTTAACACATTCCGCCTATTTGGATCATGCCATGGATGAGTTGAGGGTCCTGCAGACCCTGGCTAATTTTGAGGAATTTTCCAAGGCATTTGGATGTGAGAAGAGGGATAAAATGCAGTCCAGGCATAGGTGTAAATTGTGGTAAACAACTGCGAAATATAAAAATTGTAAATATATAAATAAAATCGGAAAAAAATATATAAATATATCTAAGATCTGGAATTTTTAAATAATATTTTTAGGGGTTATACACAAGTCGTGGATTTCTTAAAGATTTTTTAGGGGTCCTACACAAGGCGTGGATTTTTTTAAAGAATTTTTTTAGGGGTCCTACACAAGGCTTGGATTTTTTTAAAGAATTTTTTTAGGGGTCCTACACAAGGCGTGGATTTTTTAAAGAATTTTTTTAGGGGTCCTACACAAGGCGTGGATTTTTTTAAAGATTTTTTTAGGGGTCCTACACAAGGCGTGGATTTTTTTAAAGATTTTTTTAGGGGTCCTACACAAGGCGTGGATTTTTTTAAAGAATTTTTTTAGGGGTCCTACACAAGGCGTGGATTTTTTTTAAAGAATTTTTTAGGGGTCCTACACAAGGCGTGGATTTTTTTAAAGAATTTTTTAGGGGTCCTACACAAGGCGTGAATTTTTTTAAAGCATTTTTTTAGGGGTCCTACACAAGGCGTGGATTTTTTAAAGAATTTTTTTAGGGGTCCTACACAAGGCGTTGATTTTTTTAAAGAATTTTTTTAGGGGTCCTACACAAGGTGTGGATTTTTTTAAAGAATTTTTTAGGGGTCCTACACAAGGCGTTGATTTTTTTAAAGAATTTTTTTTGGAGGTCCTACACAAGGCGTGGTCCTACACAAGGCGTGGATTTTTTTAAACATATTTTTTAGGGGTCCTACACAAGGCGTGGATTTTTAAACATATTTTTTAGGGGTCCTACACAAGGCGTGGATTTCTTAAAGATCTTTTTAGGGGTCCTACACAAGGCGTGGATTTTTTTAAACATATTTTTAGGGGTCCTACACAAGGCGTGGATTTTTTTAAACATATTTTTAGGGGTCCTACACAAGGCGTGGATTTTTTTAAACATATTTTTAGGGGTCCTACACAAGGCGTGGATGTTCCGCTTATTGTATTTCCTACCCCTAATAAAAATTGATTACAGTTTACATATAAATATATACTCACTTATATTTATGTGAATCGGTGATCATTTGATCCGTCTCTCTCGTCCAGTAGTTCAACGATGTCGGATTCGCCTCAATAAAACATTCCAGCGTTATATTGAAATACATTGGTATGCCAACTAATTGATGGGGTATCCACACCATGGGGGAGACTGCACAAAAAACGAGAGAAGAAGAAAACGAGAATTCAGAGATGTAAAGAAGAAGAAGAAATAATGGGAGAAGAAAATCAAATGCTGAAACTACGTTCTGCCGTAACAACAACAAAATTTACAACAAACAAATAAAAAATTGAATTGAAAATCTTTCGGATGTAATTATCAGTTTGGTCAGAGACGTGGGAATGTGGGGGGGGGGGGGTACTGAAGTGGTAGTAGGTGGGTTTTATTTTGAAGAAGGTCTTTAAATCGTCTAGGTGGAGGTTGGGTTCTCCAACTTTGAGGTCTCAAACTGACCAGTGGTTAATTTGAGTACTCAAACTGACCTGTGGATAATTTGAATCCTCAAACTTTTCTGGGGACAGTTTGAGACTTCAAACTGACCAATCGATAGTTTGAGACCTCAAACTGACCTATGGATAGTTTGAGACCTCAAACGGACCAATGGATAGTTTGAGACGTTAAACTGACATTTGGATAGCTTGAGACCTCAAACTGGCCAATGAATAGTTGGAGACCTCAAACGGGCCCATTGATAGTTCGAGACCGCAAAGTGTCCACCGACAAGTTTGAGGTCTCAAACTATCCATAGGTGGAGGTTGGGACCTCCAACTTGGTCTGTGGACAGTTTGAGACCTTAAACTGACCTGTGGATAATTTGAGTCCTCAAACTGTTCTGGGGACAGTTTGAGACCTCATACTGACTACTGGGTAGTTAGAGACGTCAAACTGACATTTGGATAGATTGAGACCTCAAACTGGCCTATTGATAGTTCGAGACCTCAAACTGTCCATAGTCAAGTTTGAGGTCTCAAACTATCCATAGGTGGATGTTGGGACCTCCAACTTGGTCTGTGGACAGTTTGAGACCTTAAACTGAACTGTGGATAATTGGAGACCTCAAACTGACCAATGGATAGTTTGAGACCTCAAACGGACCAATGGATAGTTTGAGACCTCAAACTGGCTGGTACTGGTACCTCAAACTGTCCATAGTCAAGTTTGAGGTCTCAAAGTGTCCATAGACCAGCTGGAGGTCTCCAACTATCCATTGGTCAGTTTGAGGTCCCAAACTGTCCATAGTCAAGTTTGAGGTCTCAAACTGCCCATAGACCAGCTGAAGGTCGGACGGATACTTTCCATTTTTACAATTTTGTGTCTACAAAAAAAGTTTTTTTTTTTCAACTGAGTTCTCCAACACCCTACGATAAAACCCACCCATTGTCTATTCACGTTGACAATTGATTGTCACGTTTTCCAAACCATTTCCAATCAGACTGACACAAAACGAAAGACAAAAAACCTTTTCATTTCGAAACTTTACTTACAGTCAACGCTAACTTTAATTCGTTTCGAGACACTGGGTGGTACACCATTGGTGGCTATGCACAAATAGGCACCCATATGGAGACGTGAGATACGTTCCAATTCCAGAGATTCACCTTCGACTTCGCTAACTGGAAAAAATAAAAAATAAGATTAGAAAAAATTTGATAATCAGAATCAGGTAACCAGGTAACAGCTACCCTTAACCCTTTGCCCTCCTTCCCCACCCCTCTAGAACTTACCTTCCGTACTTTTATTGAGGACAATTTTCAAACCATCATCACGTTTCCATCGTATCGATGGTTCGGGACTACCTTTCGCCTTGCAACGCAGGGTGACATTATCGCCTTCACGCACAATGACATCACTGGAGGTCAATGCATCATCGATATTGGGCGGAACTGGAACGAAAGAGAAGAAAGAAAACAACAACATCGAATTAGTTAATTAAATACGCATGATAAACAAAAACAACAACAACACTTAAATACCCCACCCCCCTTGAACCATTTAAAATTTTTAAATTTATTTTAAATCAGAACTTAGCCACAATTAGGCCAAACCGGTTAAAGGTTGCTTGCGTAATTCGGTTAAACGCTTGACGAACGCATCAGCAGCCACCTGTCTTTGCAGATTCCCACATATATTTTGTATTATGTCTCAGACTTAATTCCGGAAGCTTATGAATTAATTAATTACCCGTTTTAAATTCACAAAAATATTCAGTGGGTTAAATGCGGTCAGATACCAAATAAGTGTGTCAATTGCCTGATTGGCGTCATGAATTGGAAATATAATTATAAATCGAATATATACAATTTTTTTTCAGGGGCTAATTCATGGCGTTGATTTTTATACCCTACCCAACTATGTTGTCAGGGTATTACAGCTTTGTGCAGCCCCAAGAGTTTGTAACGACGCGAAATATTGATCCTAGACCCACCTTAAAGTATACCGATCGTCATATCTCGATTAGCTGAGTTGATTTATGCATGTGTGTTCGTCCGTCCGTCTATCCATTTTAATTTGTACACACGATATAGGCCACAGTTATGAATCCATCTTCACGAAATATTGCATGTAGGATGGGTTCTGCCCAACGAAAACCCCTATTGTTTTTGGTAAAGATCGGTTAATGTTTAGGGGATGATATGGACCAAATACTTTATTTTGTCGGTTTTTCTGGTCTCTCCAGAGGCCACAATTATGGCCCGAACATCGCGAAATTTTACATGGAGAAGGGCATTGGACCAAAGAATAAGCATGCCTGTTTGGATATAGATCAGTCAATATTTATCGGTCAAATGGACCCTAACTTTTGCGTGAAAAATTACCAAAATTTGTATTCTATGGCGTATAGATTTACGCCTGAAGGACATAGACCCGAGCAGTTGATAGTATATCAAGATGAGTGGTTGACCTTCAAACTAATACCAATTATATGGTTTTATGTCCTCGGAATATTTACAGGTGCTCAAGTATTCAGCTATTATTTAGTAACCCATTACCATATTGGAGGACGGAAAAATAGCGCTGATCTCTTTGAAATGTTCCATGATATTCCAGTTATGGTCAAGGACAATGCCCATAATTTTCGATGATGATCAGTTAATAATTTTGGGATGAAGTGGACCGAAAACTTAATTTGTTGTGTTGTTTTTTTCGATTCAATATATAGTCTACAATTATAAACCGAACATCACAACACAACCCACGGTTAATGGAATATGGACAAGTAATTAGAAGAGCTGTACTGAATATTGGTAATATTCGCAAAATATGTCAGTGTAAGAAAGATGTGCTGTTTTGACCTCTAATAGGGCAAGTGGTTGCAAATATCACGAAAAATTGCCCAGGCTCGGAATAAACATCTGTAGAAATTTAGAGTTCCGTGGCAGTTGTGTAGGGTATCGTATGGTCGGCCCCGCCTGACTATACTGCTCATTGGTTTTAAATTATTTTTCCAAGGGTCAATACAAGGCGTGGATTTTTTATACCCTCCACCATAGTATGGAGGGTATATTAATTTTTGCTTTTCCGTTTGTAACTCGAAGATGAGCTATATCGGTCCACGTTTAGGCATAGCTCCCATATAAGGGTACCCCCCAACTTTCGATATTTTCGGGTTCTTGAGCGATTTTTTCCACCGAATTCGCCGTAATTTGGTATTTTGTAGTCGTATATGGTAGCAAATCTCCCTACCAAAATTATTAATACTTTTTGTGGTAGTCCCCAAATAACCACTTTTTTATACCCGCCACTATAGTTTGGAGGGTATATTATTTTTTTTTCCGTTTGTAACTCATCGAAATATTCAATTCTGACCATATAAAGTATATATATATTCTTGATCAGGGTAAAATTCTAAGACAATCTAGCCATGTCCGTCCGTCCGTCCTTCTGTTGTAATCACGCTGTCTTCTGAAGAAATTCAGATAGGGTGCTGAAATTTTGCATGGGTTTGTCTTTTGTCTGCAGGCAGGTCAAGTTCGAAGATGGGATATATCGGTGCACGTTTAGGGATAGCTCCCATATAACAGTACCCCCCAATTTTCGGTATTTTAGGGTTCTTGCGTAAAATTCGAGCGTAAAATTCTATGACGACTTAGCCATATCCGTCTGTCTGTTGTAATCACTCTAACGTCTAAACGAATTGAGATAGATCGCCAAAATTTTGCATAGAGTCTTTTGTCTGCAGGCAGGACTAGTTGGAAGATGGGATATATCGGTCCACGTTTAGCCATAGCTCACATATAAGGGTATCCTCCAATTTTCGGTATTTTGGGGTTCTGGAACGCGTTTTTCAACCGAACTCGCTGCAATTTGATATTTTATTATCGCATATGGTAACAAATCTCCGCACCAAAAATTGTTAATAATCACCCCACACTGAGGTACAGGGTATTATGTCTTTGTGCATATGTTTGTAACAGGCAAAAGGAAACGAGATAGACACATGGTTCCTTTTGAGAATATACATAGAATCATTTTCTGAGTCGATTTATGCATGTCTGTCCGTCCGTCTGTAGATGTTCAATTGTAAACAAAGTACAGGTCGCATTTATGATCCGATTTGGATGAAATTTGGCACAGCTCACTTATTTAGCCCAAGGACGAACCCTGTTGAAATTGGGAAAAATCAGTTCAGATTTAGATATAGCTCCCGTATATAGTTTCGTCCGATTTAATGCGAACGGTCACTATATATCTTTCGATTTGCACGAAGTTTGGCAAAATGAACTGAATTATGTCTACGATAACGTGTGCTAAATTTCGTAAAAATCGGTTCAGATTTAGATATAGCCCCCATATATATTTTTGTCCGATTTTAGGTAAACAATGCATCAAAGTCCCTTTAAGTGCTTCGATTTGCAGAAAATTTGGCACAACGTACTGAATTAAGTCCAGAATGATGTGTGCAAAGTTTCGTGAAAATCGGTTCAGATTTAGATATAGCTCCCATACATATTTCCGTCCGATTTAAGGTAAATGGTGCACCAAAGTCCCCAAAAATCTTTCGATTTGCACGAAATTTGGTACAGCGTAATGAATTAGATCTAGAATGATGTGTGTCAAGTTTCTTGATAATCGGTTCAGATTTGGATATAGCTCACATATATATTTTCTTCCGATTTAAGGTAAATGGTGTACCAAAGTCCCTATATATCTTTCGATTTGAACGAAATTTGGCATAGTGAACTGAATTAAGTCTACGATAACGTGTGGTAAGTTTCGTACAAACCGGTTCAGATTTAGATATAGCTCCCATATATGTTCGTCCGATTTTATGTAAATGGTGCACCAAAGTCCCTATATGTCTTTCGATTTGCACGAAATTTTGCATGGAGTACTGAATTGAGTCTAGAATGATGAGTGGTGAGTTTCAGGAAACTCGGTTCAGATTTCGATATAGCTCCCATATATGTTCGTCCGATTTTATGTAAATGGTGCACCAAAGTCCCTATATGTCTTTCGATTTGCACGAAATTTTGCATGGAGTACTGAATTATGTCTAGAATGATGTGTGTTAAGTTTCGTGAAAATCGGTTCAGATTTAGATATAGCTCTCATATATATTTTCGTCCGATTTTAGGTAAACGGGGCTCCAAAGCCCTTATATATATTTCGATTTGAACGAAATTTGGCACGATGTACTCAATTTAGTCTAGAGTGACATGTGTTAAGTTTCGAGAAAATTGGCTCAGATTTAGATATAGCTCTCATATATAGCTTTGTCCGATAATATGTAAATGGTGCACAAAAGTCCCTATATATCTTTCGATTTGCGCGAAATTTTGCATGGTATCGTGAATTTAAGCTAGAATGATGTATGTCAAGTCTCGAGAAAATCGGGCAAGATTTAGATATAGCTCCCATATATTTTTTTCCGATTTAAGGTAAATGGGGCTCCAAAAACCCTATATATCTTTCGATTTGCACGTAATTTGGCATTAAGTCTAGAACGATGAGTGTTAAGATACGTGAAAATCGGTTCAGATTTAGATACAGCTTCCATATGCATTTTCGTCTGATGGCGCACCAATGTAGCTATATATCTTTCGATTTGCACGAAATTAGACACAGCGTACAGATGCAGCCATAGCTTCCATATGTATTCCGAAAGGGTGTCTGATTGTAATTATTTTTAACAGTGCGGCGAACCGAATAGCATGTATCAATTTTGCTATAAATCGTTTTCCATAAATTTGTCCCTGGGTACGCAGACGACTCTAAATCTGCCCGAATGAAATTAAATTTACCACAGGTGCAGAAAGACATGAGTACGTTCCTTCGAAGGAACATTGACATTGCAAGTGTAAGGATACATATGTACAATATACCCAAAGTGGTGAAGGGTCTTACATAGTCGGCCCAGTCCGACTTTACTACTTCCCTTACTAGTTTATATTAAAATAGTTATCTAATTTGTTCCGCTCTTTGAGTTTGGTTCTAAGACTCTGTTGTAATCATTTCACCTGCGAAGGATATGGAAATAAAAAGCTAGAACTTAAGGTTCGATAATTAACTATAGCCCGAATTTAGGACTAGCCCCTGTGTGGAAGGTACCAGAAGGAGTGGACCGATATTCCCCATCTTCGAACTTGAACTAAGATTGGAAGAAATAATAAGATGGCCAAAGTTTGGATGGAATCTAAATTTTTTGAAACGGATTTGGTCCACAGAAACTTGGGCTCTAGGACCAATATTTCGATGAGCCACATTTTGACCCTGTTAAAGTGTATACAACCTCATTAGCCATAAGGCTGAGGGTATAATTATCCATTAAAAATTTCTGAAATTTGTATTACGGTTTACATAATAGGTTAGTGGAAATGTCGGTATAGGTCCACTTTTTGATATTTTACTTGTGAGAATATGTATGTTGGAGGGTATCCCAGTTCGGCCCGGCCGCTTTTTCACTTGCTTATATTAAAATAGTTAACTGATTTGTTCGTTTTTTAGGTTACTATTCCATCATAATATGGGGAATATGCTTTACTCGAAATAGACCGTTTATACCCTACATAGTATGGAATTGTAAGACGATTTAGTCGATTTTTTTCACTCTGTTGTAATCATTCTTCCTTTGGAGGATATCAATATAAAACACTAGTAGGTCAGGTTCGAGAATGACTATATCGGCCCGATTTGTGCATAGCCCGTATATAAAACCATTCGGCTTAAATTTAGGTATTTGGTACACTATTTACCTAAAATCGGACTAAACTATATTTGGGAGCTATATCTTAATCTGAACCGATTGTCCAAAGGCCAAATAAATGAGCTGTACCAAATTTATCCAATTTGAATAACATGGCCGGACAGACGGACGGAATGCAAAAATCGACTCAGAATGTGTTTATATGCTTATCTCGTTTTTGCTCGCTTTTGCCTGTAACAGACTTATGTACAAGGACATTAGCTTCGAAATTGGGATATATCGGTCCTTTATTAGGAATAAACCTTGATATTATTAAAACGCCAAATATTCTTCCCACACAATGTTGTCAATATTGATCCCGCTTTAGTTATGCCCTCTAAATTACAGTATTTTAAAGATTTTATTTTTTCAACAATCGATTGGTAGAATTGTCGTTATAGGTCCACTTTTGTGGTATGTTCCCCATATTTTCATTTCACGTAACTGAAAGTATTCCTATGGTGGAGGGTATCCAAAGTTCGGCCCGGCCGAACTTAATGCTTTTTTCATAGCTATCCATTTGTTTGGTGTTCTAAATTTTTCAGAAATCTCCGACAGCTCTCTCTCTGTATCAATTTGCAATGCATTTTACCAAAAACCTTGAACCTGAATTGTTGCTACACTGTCTGAAGAACCTTATCAGCCGGTAACTAAAAAAAAATACCAAAATATTAGGAGAGCTAAAAATATATTTCATAATTTTTCCAAATTATTTGCTAGTTTTTAAGAAGCTTTCAGTTCGGCAAGATAAGAAAAGAAAAAAATCATTCGGCGGAATGAGAAACTATAGAAGTTAACAGACATTGAAGAAAAAAAATCGAAATGGAAAGTAAAACTGCGTTCATTTTCCGAGTTGTGCTATACGGTTTGGTGGCCTCTGTGTTGACCCAGACCCCCAGTGAAGATGTGCGACAATTACAAACTATCGAAGTGTCCATAAATCGCAATGCCAACCCTTGTGTAAATTTTTATGAATATGCCTGTGGCAATTGGTCTGCCAGCCATCCCAATGACATCGAGATGGATTTAGAATCTGTGATTCGGCAAAAACATGTTTTGGATTATATGCAGTTTATGGCCGAGGAATATCCTCTACAGGAGTTCGACGCAGATTATCAGCAAAATTTCGTCGACAAGACATTGGCCTATTTCTATTCATGTATTGCGGAATTTGAAAGCTATGATGTTTTGAAATATTTGGAAGAGATAAAACCTGGCGCCGGCCTGGAATGGCCTTTGGTGGAGGTAATGCAACGTCAGCGCAATGGTAAACCCTATGTGGCTCCCAACGTTTGGCCAGTGGGGAAATTTCACTTATTTACCCTGCTGGGTAAGTTGAGTAGTTACGGATTCGAAAGTGGCCTTATTGACTATGCATGGGTGGAGATGAAGGGCAGGCAGGTTATGAAGATATGGGTCCCCGAATTACCGGAACTGCAGAAGAATTTGCTGAGAACAATTTTACGTGAAATGAAGCTACCCAAACGTCTGATACGAAAATATTATTTAGATATGATAAGACTGCATCAAGAATTGCAGGGATTTTTGGAGACATATATGCAGGATGAGGAATCGGATCATGTGGAATATGAAATACCCTATCGAGGGCTTAAACATGACCTGCAACATTTGTATCGTTTTATAAGTCAAATTGATCCGCCCAGCAAACATAAAACGCACAGTGTGGCCTTTATTTCCGATGTGGATTATTTCGCTAAGTTGTTGTTGGAATTCCGCAATCCCCATAAAGTCCAAAGGCTGTGTAATTATCTGATGTTGCAGTTTTTAATTTATCTGAAATATACCCAGCCGGAAAATTGTTTCTACACCATTAAAAATCGTCTACATTTGCCATTCGATTATCTCTATTCGAAGTATTTCTATCATCCTCAGGCTGAGGAGTATAATAGCCACCTAAGTCTATTGAGTACGAAGATTTATCGGAATATTTTTGGGCTAATTAAAGAAAATCGTTTAGATTTATCAGCGGATCAGGTGAAGGAGCTGAAACAACAACTACTCAACATAACCTCAAATATTGGAAATTTGCCCGAGAACATAAATTTCCAGCTGCTTGAGGAATTATATGGCAATCTGCCGAATATGGATGCGGAAAAGTTCTATAGTAACGACCTGCAGGCATTGCGCCATCAAAACTGGTTACGTTACCACTGTCCTTCCAAGGTGATATGCATTCCGCAATTCCCCGTCCTACCCCGCTACGATGTCAGCAATAATAATGTGGTCATACCCTTTGCTGCCCTGCAGACTCCCGTCTATCACCTCGATTTGGATCCAATATTTTCTCTCTCAACCTTTGGTTTCCTATTGGCTCAAAGCTATGCCCAGTCCATAAATGTCGATAACCTACAACATATAAGCGAACGCTTTGAACACCTCCAACAACATCCGAATATCAAATGTATGCAGCAGCAAGAACCGAGTGATTATATCGATGAACGTATTGCCGATTTAATGGGTGCCCGTATCGCCTATCAGGCCTATGCCCAGGAATATAAATATAATTTGCAGCCCAAATTTACCACCATACCCTGGCGACAATTATTTTTCCTAAATATGGCTCAGATATTTTGTTCCAAAAATCCGGAAGATTTGGAGGGAGGTGACATGGAGGGTGATACATCGATGACACGACTCAATCAAATTGCCATGAATTTGGAGATATTCGGTGAGGCATTTCAATGCCCGATGGGTAGTGAAATGAATCCGGCAAGGAAGTGTAGATATCTTTAGATTAAAAATAAATTATGAAATAAAAATTATTCGCAGAATTTGCGGAATTTTTATTAAAATATTTTCTCAAGGGTCCTATACAAGGCGCGGAGGGTAAAAAAAATTATTTAAAAAATTCACTCCTTACATGGAAGCCTTAAAAATTATTTAAACCAGTAAAGAAAGTAGTAAAGTCGGACGGGGCCGACTATATGATACCCTTCACCACTTAGGGTATATTCAACAGATGAATCCTAACAGACGTCACATTTTAAAAGGACCATCAAAATGAAATTGGATCCATAAACATATCATTCGGCAACCTATACTAATTTTTTCATTTGGTCAGATATAGAAGCTATATCCAAATCTGAACCGATTTCAGGAAATTTAACACACATCATTCTAGACCTAATTCATTACGCTGTGCCAAATTTCGCAACCGAAGATATAAAGGGACTTTGGTGGACCATTTACATTAAATCGGACGAAAATATATATGGGAGCTATATCTAAATCTGAACCGATTTTCAGGAAACTTAGCACACATCATTCTATACTTCATTCATTACGCTGTGCCAAATTTCGTGCAAATCGAAAGATATATAGGGACTTTGGTGCACCAGTTACATAAAATCGGACGAAACAATATATAGGAGCTATATCTAAATATGAACCGATTTTCACCAAACTCAGCACACATCATTCTGCATCTAATACAGAACGCTCTGCCAAATTTCGTGTGAATCGAATGATATATAGGAACTTTGTTGCACCATTTACGTAAAATCGGACGAAACTATATATAGGAGCTATATCTATATCTGAAACGATTTTCACGAAACTTAGCACACATCATCCTAGGCCTAATTCATTACGTTGTGCCAAATTTCGTGCAAATCGAAAGACATATAGGGACTTTGGTGCACAATTTACATAAAATCGGACTAAACTATATATGGCAGCTATATCTAAATTTGAACCGATTTTCACGAAACTTAGCACACATCAATCTGGACCTAAATCAGTACGCTATGCCAAATTTCATGCAAATCGAGGGGTATATGTTGACTTTGGTACACCGTTTACATTAAATCGGACGAAAATATATGTGGGAGCTATATCTAAATATGAACCGATTTTCTCGAAACTTAACACACATCATTCTGGATCTAATTCAGTACCCTATGAAAACTTACGTACAAATTAAATGATATATAGGGACTTTGGAACACCATTTACCTAAAATCGGACAAAACTATATATGGGAGCTACATCTAAATTTGAACCGATTTTCACGAAACTGGGCACACATCATTCTGGACCTAAATCAGTACGCTATGCCAAGTTTCGTGCAAATCGGAAGATATATAGGGACTTTGGTGCCTATATCGGAGGAAAATGTATATGGTAGCTATATCTAAATCTGAACCGATTTTCACCAATTTCAATAGGGTTCGTCATTGGGCCAAATAAGTGAACTGTGCCCAATTTCATGCAAATCGGATCATAAATGCTACCTGTACTTGGTTTACAATTTAACATCTACAGACGGACGGAGGGAGGGACGGACATGCATAAATCGACTTAGAAAGTGATTCTATGCATATTCTCAAAAGGAACCATGCGTCTATCTCGTTTCCTTTTGCCTGTTACAAACATATGCACAAAGACATAATAGCCTGTACCACAGTGTGGTGAAGGGTATAAAAATCCGCACCTATTGTTGGTGTCTAAAAAAATTACTTAAAACTATTTATTTAAAAATCCATGCCCATTAGGGTGCCTATAGGGTTGATACGATTCGACTTAAGTGCCCCTGCGTCTTCTATATTTCTTATCACCGTCAAGAGAGTAGTCGATTTTTTTTTTGTTTACTCTCCCCAATCTCTATATCTCGTTTGGTCTCTGTTATCAATACACCATGGTACATGTCTCAAAATATGGAAATTGAAAACAGACGAACGACCCAGTTCGGAAAGAGTTTGGACAAAGTAAAGAAAGAAAGAAATAGAAAAATATTTTGAATAAAAAAAAAAAAATTGGAAAAAAATATGAAAAATAAAAATGGTGTATTATTTTGTTTCGTGATCATTTCGCTCGTATCCTTCGAAGTGCACGCCTTTGTTCAACCCTCAGCCGAAACTTTGGAACAATATAAGGCAATTTTGTCTTCGTTGAATTCTAGCATCGATCCGTGTAATGATTTCTATCAATATGCCTGTGGAAATTGGCCGCAACATCATAGGGAGGAAAATTTTGGTATTGCCAATATGATGCAGAGGTTATATGCCAAGGATCTGCAGGATATTATCGAAAAGGAATATCCCATAAGTGTAGTGGAGAATTTGGAAGAGGGTAGTGCCACGAAAAAGACCCTGCAATATTATTACTCATGTGTCGAATTAGAGTCGGTGGATGTTATGAAATTTGTGGAGATGGTAAAACCTGCCCCCGGGGTGGAGTGGCCTTTGTTGGAGGAATTTAAGGCCGATGGAAATAAAACAAAATTCCGTTTAAGACCCATGGAATTTTTTGGCCTCCTGGGGAGGCTTCATTCCCTAGGTGTAAATAATGAATTGGTAAGGCTGCTACCGTTGTACTTGGAAAATGGCCAATTGGTGGTGATTTTTACCATCCCCAATGTCCAATATATGGAGCAACAGCAGATTCAGGACCTTCTGCAGGAAATTCTCTGGGACAAGGAAAGTGTGGGAAAAGTGACAGAGGAAATTTTTGACACTCAAAATTATTGGCAATCGATTTATGATAATTATACAAATTCTGAAAATGAGGAGGAGCAGGACGAAGCAGAGGATGAGGGCTACACCCTGACTGACTTACATTTGCGATACCCGAAACTTTATAAATTCCTGCAGAAAGCCTTATCCCAAAGACTGCGTCAGAAAAAACCCTTGGTGGCATTTTCCAATGAAAATTATTATAAATTTTTATTTTCCCATAAATGGCCCGCAAACGAAGTTAAAAATTTTTCGAATTATCTCCTGCTGAAATTCATTATGATTTTGAAAAGGGAACATAGTTTTGGTTGCCGGATAAATGTCGTCAACCAAATCCCCTTCATATTCCATGGGCTTTACCACAAACATCGCTACGAGGCATATGGTGAGGATCTGAATTCCCACATCGTGGGTGTGAGTAAAAAAATCTATAAAAATTTCCTAGAAATTCTCCATGAAAACCATCTGAATTTCACCCACCGACAATTGGGGAATCTTCAAGAAAAACTCTCCAAAGTCTCCATAAATATTGGAAATCTACCACGGAATCAAGATCCACAAATTCTTGAAAACTTTTATCGCCACCTACCCGAAATGGATGCACTCAACTACTATCTGAATAATCTGCAACTAAAACAACATTCCGTTGGAGAACATCTGAAATGCCCTCCCTTTCTAAGTTGTCGAGAAGATCCCGATCATATACCCTATTATGATCGTACGCTGAATATGATAACAATACCCTTTGGTACCCTGAAATCTCCTCTCTATGACTTACACCATGATGCGCTACTAATATATTCCTCTTTGGGTACCATATTGGGTCATGAGCTGACACATGCCATTGATCCGACATCGCTGGAGGAATTTGAATCCACGGATTTCAAATCTATCACAGAAAAATCTGAAATTTTGGAATCCCTCAGCTGTATGCAGCGACAACAGGCCACTCACACTATTGATGAGCGCATTGCTGATTTGGTGGGAACACGGGTCGCCTGGAAGGCCTACAGTATGGAGCGAAGTGAATCGGTTCGGAAATTTTCAGAACTATCATGGCAGAAATTATTTTTCTTAAATTTGGCACAATATTTCTGTGTCAAACGGTTCGATTTTGATGATGAACATGATGCACCGCCGATGCGTTTAAATGAAGTGGTTCGGAATTTTGAGGAGTTCGCGGAAGCGTTTCAGTGTCCGCTGGGTAGTAAAATGAACCCACAAAAGAAATGTAGATTTTACTAAATATATAATAAATGTTTACTAATTTATAAACAATTTAGTTTTTTTAATACCGGAACGCCTGAGGCGCACAAAATGACGAAAAGGGACCAAAGGAAATTTTAATTTTTTTTTTTAAATTTTAAATAATAAACGATTTGTTGTGGCTATAAAAAAATATTTCAAAATCCACGACTTATGTTGGACCCCTAAATAAAATTAAAAAATCCAAGCCTTGTGTTATCCCCCAAACAAAATTAAAACTAGTGAGCGGAGCAGTATAGTCGGACGTGGCCGACCATATGATACCCTACACAACTACCACGGAACTCTAACTTTCTGTGGATTTTTATTTCGAGCCTGGGCAATATTTCGTGATAGTTGCACACTTAAGATCGACTAAAGGTCAAAAAATATTTCTAATATTCAGCACAGCCCTTCTAATTACATTTCCATATTCCCTTCACCGTTGGTTCTGTTGTGATGTTCAGCTTATAATTGTGGCCTAAGGATCGACTCAAAAAAAAAAAAAAAAAAATTTGGTCACTTCATCCCAAAATTATTATCTGATCATCGCCGAAAATTATAGGCGTTGTCCTCATGGAACATTTCGAAGCAATGGGCGCTATATTTCCGCCCTCCAGTGTGGTGGTAATGGGTTACTAAATAATATCTGAATATCTGAATACGCACCTATAAATATTTCAGTGTAACTCCCACATTTGAGTACATACGACAATATAATTGGTATCAATTTAAAGGTCAACCACTCCTCTTGGATATACTATCAAATTCTCGGTTCACTGTCCTTCAGGGGTAAACATATACGCTATAGAATACAAATTTTGTAATTGTTCACACAAAAGTCAGGGTCGAACGAACACACATGTCTAGATCGACTCAGCTAGTCGAGATATGACGATCGGTATACTTAAAGGTTGGTCTAAGACCAATATTTCGCGTAGTTACAAACTCTTGGGGCTGCACAAAGCTATAATACCCTGACAGCATAGTTGTGTAGGGTATAAAATTCTACGCCTTGCTTGGGTACATCAATATCTATTTTTTAAACTTTCTGCGGATGTTTATTCCGAGCCTGGGCAATGTTTCGTGATATTTGCACCCTCTTGCCGGTTAGAGGTCAACAGCACATCTTCCTTAAACTGACATATATTCCGAATATTACTAATATTCAGTACATCCCTTCTAATTACTCGTCCATATTGCATTCACCGTGAGTTGTGTTGTTGGATGGACACACATTTCTAGATCGACTCAGCTAGTCGAGATATGACGATCGGTATACTTAAAGGTACCCACCTTGGACCAATATTTCGCGGCGTTACAAACTCTTGGGCTGCACAGAGTTAAAATACCCTGACCACATAGTTATGTAAGGTATAAAAATCTACGCCTTGTGTAGGACCCCTAAAATTTTTTTTAAAAATCGACGCCTTGTATAGGACGCCCAAAACATTTTTAACCAGTAAGGAAAGTAGTAAAGTCGGACTGGGCCGCTGTGGGTGTATTCTGCATATGTACCCTAACAGACGTCGTCTTACACGTCATTCTAGACTCAATTCAGTACACTTTGGCAAATTTCGTGCAAATCGAAATATATATAGGGACTTTGGTGGACCATTTGCATAAAATCGGACAAAACTATATATGGGAGCTATATGTAAATCTGAACCGATTTTCACAAAACTTAGCACACATCATTCTTGACCTAGTTCAGTACGCTATGCCAAATTTCGTACAAATCTAAAGATATATCAGGACTTTGGTGCCCCATTTACCTTAAATCGGACGAAATTATATATTGGAGCTATATCAAAATCTGACCTAATTTTCTCGAAATTTGATACACGTCATTTTAGACTCAATTCAGTACACGATGCAAAATTTCGTGCAAATCGAAAGATATATAGGGACTTTGGTGACCCATTTACCTCAAATCGGACGAAAATATATATGGATGCTATATCTAAATCTGGACCGATTTTCAGGAAACTTAGCGCACATCATTCTGGACCTAATTTATTACGCTATGCCAAATTTCGTACAAATCTAAAGATATATAAGGACGTTAGTTCCCCATTTACCTTAAATCGGACAAAATTATATATTGGAGCTACATCAAATTCTGACCAGATTTTCTCGATGCAAAATTTCGGGCAAATCAAAATCCGATATATACATCGGACGAAAATATATATGGGAGCTATATCAAAATCTAACCTGATTTTCTCGAAATTTGATACACATCATTGTAGACCTAATTAATTACGCTGTGCCAAATTTCGTGCAAATCGAAAGATATCTGTGGACTATAGTGCACCATTTACATAAAATCGGACGAAAATATATATGGGAGCTATATCTAAATCTAAGCCGATTTTCACGAAACTTGGCAGACATCATTCTAGGCTCAATTGAGTACGTTATACCAAATTTCGTGCAAATCGAAAGATATATAGGGTCTTTGGTGCATCATTTACATGAAATCGGACGAAACTATATATGGGGGTGATATCTAAATCTGGACCGATTTTCACGAAACTGGGCAGTCATCATTCTAGGCTCAATTGAGTACGTTATACCATATTTCGTGCAAATCGAAAGATATATAGGGACTTTGGTGCACCATTTTCATGAAATCCGACGAAACTATATATGGGGGCTGTATCTAAACCTGGACCGATTTTCACGAAACTTGGCAGACCTCACTCTAGGCTAAATTCAGTACGTTATGCCAAATTTCGTGCAAATCGAAAGATGTATAGGGACTTTGGTGCACCATTTACCTTAAATCGGACGAAAATATATATGGGAGCTATATCTAAATCTGAACCGATTTTTCCCAATTTCAATAGGGTTTGTCCTTGGGCCAAATTAGTGACCTATGCCAAATTTCATCCAAATTCGGGTTATAAATACGACCTGTATTTTGCTTACAATTTAACATCGATAGACAGACGGTCGGACATGCATAAATCGACTCAGAAAGTGATTCTATGCATATTCTCAAAAGGAACCATGTGTCTATCTCGTTTCCTTTGTTACAAACATATGCACAAAGACATTATACCCTGTACCACAGAGTGGTGAAGGGTATACATTTTTTTAAAAAATCCACGAATTGTGTTGGACACCTAAACAAACCCTGACAACATAGTTATGCTGGGTTTAAAAATCTACGCCTTGTGTAGGACCCCTAATATTTTTTTTAGAAATCTACGCCTTGTATAGGACCCCCGAAAAACATTTTTAAAAAATACACGCCTGTCCTTGTCTTTATCCTTTGTCCTTCAACATATTACAAAACTTAATCTGTTCAATTGTTGTCTAGTTTAGTGGTCAAGGCGTTTATTATTATTTGTCTTCGTGGTTGTTAACACAAGTTCGACACAACTTCGACACTTGTGTTGATGTTTAGAAAAAAATATCCTTTGTTTTTTTGTGACCCTTTCCTTCGATACTTTTTTGTTTTGTTCGCTACAAACTTGTAAGGACAAAGTTATAATGAAACTTATGAAAAACGTTTCGAAAAGTTAGCGTCTCTTATATTGATAATATTGTCTCTTTAGTAAAACGGGACTTTTAAGGACAATGTGAAAAAGAATCAGCGATTGGTCCTACACCTTATTATTAAATGCTATTCTATTAGGCGAATTAATTTAGTCAGATTTATTTTTGTTGTTGCTGTTGGACCAACAAAAAAATCTTCATAAATTTTCCCCCAACCAATTTCCCTGGCATCCCAAATCTTTGACATTACTTAATCTTATCCATCGAACAGGATCCAACCACATCGTTGCTCTTTTGTTTTCCTACCACAAAACCATGGGAATAGTAATCACCCTTGGCCTGTGTCTTTGTCTATGTGTCGGTTCGGTATTGAGTGACGTTGTCGCAACTCGGGAGCAAAGTGATTTTCCTTAATTAAATTGTATGTCAAAACTTTTCTCCCAAGCTGACGAACAAAAACCCAGAGAGCCGGAGAATTGAACGGAAAATGAACGAGATACAAAAAGTTTCTGTGAGTATCATCAGTATTGGCATCAGCAGCGTCATTGGCAAGCGACATAAATCTAATGGTGGGTGGTAGGACGTTTATGAGAGCGAGGACCCTACACAATTATGTTGTCAGGGTATTATAGCTTTTTGCAGCCCCAAAAGTTTGTAACGCCGCGAAATATTGGTCCTAGACCCACCTTTAAGTATACCGCTCGTCATATCTCGACTAGTTGAGTCGATCTAGACATATGTGTCCGTCCGTCCATTATAATTTGGTAAAAACGGTTAATATTTATGGGGATGAAATGGACAATTACGGCCCAAATATGGTGAATTTTTACATGAAGAAGGGGATCGGGCCAAAACATGAGCATGCCTGTTTTGATAAATATCGATCAATATTTAGCTGGTCAAATGGATCCTGACTTTTGTGTCAAAAATTAAAAAGATTGCATTCTGTGGCGTATATATTTACTTCTGAAGGACATAGAAGTTGATAGCAAATCCAAGAGGAGTGGTTGACCTTTAAACTGATACCAATTATATAGTCGTACGTACTCGGATGTGGGAGTTACACGTAAATATTTACAGGTACTTACGTATTGAGATATTATCTAGTAAACCATTACCACACTGAAGGACGAAAATATAGCGCTGATCGCTGTGAAATTTTCCATGAGGATCAAGGACAACGCCCACAGTTTTCGGTGATGATCGGATAATAATATTGGTATGAAGTGGACCGAAAACTTAATTTTTTTGTTTTTTTCTAGTCGATCTAAAGTCCACAAGCAGAACATCCGAACATCACCATACAACCCAAGGTGAAGAGAATCTGGACAAGTAATTAGAAGGGATGCACTGAAAATATAGCGCTGATCGCTGTGAAATTTTCCATGAGGATCAAGGACAACGCCCACAGTTTTCGGTGATGATCGGATAATAATATTGGTATGAAGTGGACCGAAGACTTAATTTTTTTGTTTTTTCTAGTCGATCTAAAGGCCACAAGCAGAACATCCGAACATCACCATACAACCCACGGTGAAGAGAATCTGGACAAGTAATTAGAAGGGCTGCACTGAATATTGGGCATATTCGGAAAATATATCAGTGTACGGAAGAGGTGCTATTGATCTCTAATTGGTGAAGAGGGTGAAAATATCACGAACTATTGTCCAGGCGCGAAATAAACATCCGCAGAAATTTAAAGTTCTGTGGTAGTTGTGTAGAGTATCTTATGGTCGGCCCCGTTCGACTATACTGCTGCGCTCACTGGTTTTAAAAATATTTTTGGATTTGTTTAAAAATATTTTTTGGTTTCTATAAAAGACGGGGATTTTTATACCCTTCAACACACTGTGGTACAGGGTATTAGGTCTTTGTGCATATGTTTGTAACATGAAAAAAATAAGCGAGATGGACCCTTGGTTCCTTTTGAGAATATGCATAGAGTCAATTTCTGAGTCGATTTATGCATGTCCGTCCGTCCGTTTGTCCGTCTGTCCACGTTAAATTGTAAGCAAAGTACAGGTCGCATTTGTGATCCGATTTGGATGAAATTTGGCACAGTTCACTTATTCGGCCCAAGGACGAACCCTATTGAAATTGGAAAAAATCGCTTCCGTATATATTCCCGTATATATTTTTGTCCGATTTTATGTAAATGGTGTACCAAAATCCTTATATATCTTTCGATTTGCACGAAATTTGGCACAGCGTACGGAATTCAGTCTAGAGTGATGTTTGCTAAGTTTCGTGAAAATCGGTTCAGATTTAGATATAGCTCCCATGTATAGTTTCGTCCGATTTTAGGTAAATAGCCCACTAAAGTCCATGGAAATCTTTTGATTTGCACAAATTTCGGCATAGCGTACTCATTTATGCCTAGAATGATGTGTGGAAAGTTTCGTGAAAATCGGTTCAGATTTATATACAGCTCCCATATATAGTTTTGTCCGATTTAAGGTAAATTGTGTACCAAAGTCCCATATATCTTTCTATTTGCACAAAATTTAACATAGCGTACTGAATTAAGTCTAGAATGATGTGTGCCAAGAGTCGTGAAAATCGGTTCAGATTTAGATATAGCTTTCGTCAGATTTTCGGTAAATAGTCCACAAAAGTCCCTGGAAATCTTTTGATTTGCACGAATTTCGGCATAGCGTACTCAATTAAGTCTAGAATGATGTGTGCAAAGTTTCGTGAAAATCGGTTCAGTTTTAGATATAGCTCCCATATATAGTTTCGTTCGATTTTATGTTAATGGTGCAACAAAGCCCCTATATGTCCATCGATTTGCACGAATTTTGGCACAGGGTACTGAATTGGGTGTAGAATAATGTGTGCTAAAAATCGAAAAAATCGAAAAAATCGGTTCAGATTTAGATATAGCTCCCATATAAATTTCCTCCGATTTTAGCTAAATGGTGCACCAAAATCCCTATATATCCGTCGATTTGCACCATATTCGGCATAGGGTTCTGAATTGGGTGTATAATGAAGCGTGCTAAATTTCGAGAAAATCGGTTTAGATTTCGATATAGCTCCCATATATAGTTTCGTCTGATTTTAGGGAAATGGTGCACTAAAGACCCATACCAATGCCAATTGACACAACGTTCTGAAATTAATATAAATTAATCACTGGCAAGTTTCCTTGAAATCGGTTCAAATATAGCATAGCTCTCATATATAATTTCGACCTATTCAGGCTTATTGTACACCAAATAATCAATGGGTGCTTAATTGATATTTCATTTTAAACAGTGAAGCATACCAACTAGCGCGTGTAAAGTTTGCTATAAATCTATTCACAAATTTTAGAATGGCTTGCAGAATGACATGTGTTGGGATTGATGTTAGTCGGTTTACTTATAGATAAGTTCGTTCAATGTGATGTCAATGTTCCCTCGAAAATGAGACATCTATATCCAAAGTGGTGAAGGGTTTTATATTGTCGGCCCAGTCCGACTTTACTACTTTCCTTAGTGGTTTTACTTGTCCCATTTCAAATCCAAAAATAGTTTCCTATTTGTCAGTTTATCTGCTTGCCTCTTTTTGTAACCACTTATATACCAGGGGTGGGGATTATATATGGCCACTCTTTACCTATTCGGAAATTTGTGGCAAATGTGTTTTACAAAACTGGCCAGAATGATAAATCGTTTCATTTTAAAGTTATTTAGAGCCAACAAAATAAATCTCAATGGCAATGACATGGTGTCTGCATGGATAGGAGAGCTATCTACCCCACACCTCACCCTCTTCCACAAACATCCATAACCCTGACTCATTAGAAATTATCAGTTGCTGTGGCAGAATAGTTCGGAATACAACCACTTGTAAAATGCTCATTTCAATTGTGTGTAATATATGGGGTTTTGGCAATAAGCATTTAATTTGTTAACAAAAAATAACAACAGCTAGCGGTCATTTAATGTTGCAATTAAAAATATTTAAAAGGCCATAAAGAAATAGTAATTTGGCGAACAAAACAATTAAATGGAAAATTTGGACCGATTTCAGTTTCAGATTGAATAATTAAATATTCCTTTTTTTCATGAACTACCAAACGCTTGGATTTATTAAAGAATTTTTTTCAAGGGCCAACTGAGGCGTGGATTTATTAAAGAATTTTTTTCAAGGGCCAACTGAGGCGTGGATTTATTAAAGAATTTTTTTCAAGGGCCAACTGAGGCGTGGATTTATTAAAGAATTTTTTTCAAGGTCTCAACAGAGGCGTGGATTTATTAAAGAATTTTTTTCAAGGGCTCAACAGAGGCGTGGATTTATTAAAGAATTTTTTTCAAGGGCCAACAGAGGCGTGGATTTATTAAAGAATTTTTTTCAAGGTTTTAAATTTTTTTAAAAACATTTCTTAATTTTTTTAATTGTATTTCTTAAGGTTTTATTATTTAAAATAATTTCATAGACAAATATTTTTTTACTATTTAATTTTATTTTGTTGCTCTCCTTCAATGTCCCGTTCCTCTAATAGAACCGACATTTTTGTTTGGCATTCATGCGGCTATCATCGGAACACTGAAAGGCCCTGGAGAATGCCGGCGTATTAATGGCAATTTGATTTAAACGTTGACCACCATTTCGCGATAATGGCTGTGAGCATAACATTTGACCTAAATTTAGGAAAAATAATTGTCTCCATGGTATAGGGGTGGTGGTGGTGGTGCTGGTGCTGGTGAATTGGGGTTGCCTATTATATTCTCGTATATACGAACGATAGGCTATGCGAACGGCCACCAAATCGGCTAGGGTTTCACTAACTTCCACCGTCGAGGGTTCTTGTTGTTGTTTTATACAATTAATGGAGTCCTTAATTTCGGGTTGGTCCATAATATTTTGAAATAGGTGACCATAGGTATCATCGGCAATTAGACCCAGGCTATCTATACTGTGTGAGAGCTCATGGGCGAGAAGGAAACCCAAAGATGAAATTGTGAACAGGGGATCCATATGTAGCTCATAGATGGGACTGTGCAGTGAGGCAAAGGGTATAACAAGTAAATCTTGTTCAGGTAAATATCGGGGGGAAGTGGCTAATTTTTGTCCGCAATCCATGGTGGTAGGACAGATAATGGGCTCTAGGGTGCGATGCTGCATTACCAGCAAATCATTGGCATAGAAATTGTCGCTGTCTAAATTGGGGAGAAGATCGTAAAATTTCTCCACTTCGTTGAGGGTAATACCCTCCGGTAAATTTCCAATATTTAGGGTGATGTTTGCCAACATTTTCCGTATTGCTTGGAGTTGTTCGCCAGTCATATTTAGGCGATTTTCCTGCACAAGTCTCATGAAACTTTTATAAATGATTTTATTCAGATCCGCAATATCCTTGGAAATTTCTCTACCTCGAGGCAAATAAAATTCCTGATAGTAAAGGTAATTATAGGCCAAATGCATACGTTCCTGCACGGTTTCCAAGCAAATGGTGTTCGAAGTTCTCTTGAGATGTAATAAAAATCTGACCATTAAATAATTGCAAAATTTTTGATTTTCTTCGACGTTATTCCATTGCCGGTTTGATACAAATTCAATATAATCCCAAAAGGGCAGGACCACCAGAGCATCATTATCCCGCAATTTTTCGGGTAGTATGATTTCCAAAAATCCCCACAATTCCGGATTGGATTGTTGAATATCTTGGTGGGAAAATAGATTTTCACTTTCCCCAAAATCGGCATAATCTGCATAGGCAGCCTGCCAATAATCATGGGTGCTGCGTAACTCCTGCAAGTGATGGCGCCCAACCTCTGCTGGTAGTTTGAGGTCCTGTAAAATTTTTTCCACACTCCTCTCGTCAAATTCACTGGGGTCTGGTATGGTAATGACCGTCCAAATGCTGCCATTTCTCCGCACAGTGGTTTGTTCCAAAATCTCTGAGGTGAAACCATAGCTGTGCAGTTTACCCAGTAATTCAAAGGGCTTGAAATTCGACCAATTTCCCCTGTCACTCTCATTCAACAAAGGCCACCGTAAATCCTCCCCAGGGGTAATTTCGTACAGGTACTTCACGACCTCCACAGTTTTGATTTTCAAACAGGAATGCAAATACATCGCTGCTTTTTCCAGGGCCGTCTGCTTCTCCTTCACCACCTCGCCATCCTTATTCTTCATCTTCTCCAGCAATTCGTTCTTCGGATATTTTTTCATCACTACCTCCATCATGCGTATGGTGTAATTATATTTTAAAAATTCCTCCAAATTTTTATGAAAATCCTTTTGCACATGGCTCCGGCCCCAATTGCCACAGGCATAGCCATTAAAATCCTCACAGGGGTCAATGGAACGATTCATGGACGATTCGATGATTTCTAACTGATGTAAATTCTCCGTCTGGCATTTTGCCAACTTTACAAAATTTATTAAAAATCCAATAAGAAAAAATTGGAATTGCATTTTATTCCGATTTGAAAAATTATTGTTGGCGATTTGTTTACAGTTTTGAAATTAAATTACAACTAAGGAAAAAACTATGTTTGTTAAGAAGATTTTCTTAGTGATAAGGCCATAGCTTAGAGAGCCCTCCAACGAGCTCTCAGCGAACAACAGAATCTCTACACTTTGTTTAAAGGTCAAATGGTCAGGGTGGAATGAGAATCAATTGGTATTAATCATAAATGTTTAAAATAATAAAATCATAAGCGTAGAGGATTGAGGGGGAGAGATTAAAAAAAAATATTGTTAAGGACTATCAAAAGGCGTAGATGTTAAGCCAATAACAATAGGGGTGGATTTTTTAAACAAATATTTTGAGGCATTAGCAATATGCGTGGATTTGTTGAGACCTTGAAAAAAATTCTTTAATAAATCCACGCCTCTGTTGAGACCTTGAAAAAATTCTTTAATAAATCCACGCCTCTGTTGAGACCTTGAAAAAAATTCTTTAATAAATCCACGCCTCTGTTGAGACCTTGAAAAAAATTATTTAATAAATCCACGCCTCTGTTGAGACCTTGAAAAAATTATTTAATAAATCCACGCCTCTGTTGAGAACTCGAAAAAACATGTTGAGACCTTGAAAAAAATATTTAATAAAACCACGCCTCTGTTGAGACCTTGAAAAAAATTCTTCAATAAATCCACGCCTCTGTTGAGACCCTATTTTTTGCTGAAACCTATCCTCTGAAATCGATCCATTTAATTTGAATTTCCCCATTGTTTATTTCTCCATTTAATTGTTTTGGTCTCCTAAATAACTATTTCTTTATGGCTTTTTAAATATTTTTAATTGTAACATTTAAATGGCCACAATTGTTGTTGTTTTTGTTGGTAACAAATTAAATGCTTATTACAAAAACCCCATATATTACACACAATTTAAATGAGCATTTTACAAGTGGTTGTATTCCGAACTATCCTGCCATAGCAACTGATAATTTCTAATGAAAGAGGATTGAGAGTGGTTGTGAAAGAGGATGGGGTACATAGCTCTCCCATCCATGCAGACACCAGCCATTGCCATTGAGATTTATTTTGTTGGCTCTAAATAACTTTAAAATGAAACGATTTATCATTCGGGGCAGTTTTGTAAAGCACATTTGCCACAAATTTCCGAATAGGTAACGAGCGACCATATAGACTCCCCATTCCTGGGATATAAGCGGTTGCATAAAGAGGCAGACAGATAAACAGACAAATAGGACGAAAAAAAAAAATTGTGTTAGTTTGTTTTGAACTAGAAATATTTTTAAAAAATCTACGCCTTATGTAGGAACCAAAAAAAATATTAAAAAAAAACGAAAAATATTTTTAAAACCCAGGCTTTGTGTACGACCTTTAAAAAAATATTTTTAAAACATGTGAGCGGAGCAGTATAGTCGGACGGGTCCGACCATACGATACCCTACACAACTACCACAAAACTCAAACTTTCTGCGGATGTTTATTCCGAGCCTGGGCAATATTTCGTAATATGTGCTCCCTCTTGCCCGATTAGAGGTCAACAGCACCACTTCCTTACACTGACATATTTTCCGAATACAACTAATATGCAGTACAGTCCTTCTAATTACATGTCCATATTGCCTTCACCGTGGGTTGTGTTGCGATGTTTGGCTTATTATTGGCATCGACCCGGAAAAAACCAGTAAGGAAAGTAGTAAAGTCGGACTGGGCCGACTATATGATACCCGTCACCACTATGGGTATATTCTACACATGTATCCTAACAGACGTCGCGTTTTTGTTATATATCTATATCTGAACCGATTTTAGGAAATCTTGCCAGAGACTAAATTATATTACTTCAGTACATTGGGTCAATCGGCCTAGCTATGGATCTTTTCACGAAGCTTAGCAACATCATTCTAGACTTAATCCAGTACCCCACACCAAAATTCGTGCAAATCGGTCCTTGGTGCACCAATTACCTTAAATCGGATGAAAATATATATGGGAGCTATATCTAAATCTGAACCGATTTTCAAGAAACTTTGCACACATCATTCTAGACTTAATTCAGTACGCTGTGCCAAAATTCGTACAAATGAAAAGATTTCAAGGGACTTTGGTGCACCATTTACATTAAATCGGGGAAACTATATATGAGAGCTATATCTAAGTCTGAACCGATTTTCATGAAACTTAGCACACATTATTATATAAGCAATTCAGTATGCTATGCCAAATTTCGTGCAAATCGAATGCTATATAGGGTCTTTGGTGCACCAATTACCTTAAATCGGATGAAAATATATATTGGAGCTATATGTAAATCTGAACCGGTTTTCACGAAACTTTGCGCACATCCTCCTAGATCTAATTCAGTACGCTATGCCAAAATTCGTGCAAATCAAAAGATTTCCACGGACTTTAGTGGATTATTTACATAAAATCGGGCGACACTATACATGGGAGCTATATCTAAATCTGAACCGATTTTCATGAAACTTTGCACATATCATTCTTGACTTAATTCAGTACGGTATTCCATATTTCGTGCAAATCGAAAGATATATAGGGACTTTGATACACCATTTACCTTTATTCGGACGAATATATATGGGAGCTATATCTAAATCTGAACCGATTTTTTCCAATTTCAATTGGGTTCGTCCTTGGGCCGAATATGTGAACTGTGCCAAATTTCATCCAAATCGGATCATAAATGCGACCAGTACTTTGTTCACAAAAATACATGGACGGACAGACAAACGGACATGCATAAATCGACTCAGAAAGTGATTCTATGTATATTCTCAAAAGGAACCATGGGTCCATCTCGTTTCCTTTTGCCTGTTACAAACATATGTACAAAGACATAATACCCTGTACCACAGTGTGATGAAGGCTATAAAAATCCCCGTCTTGTATAGAAAGCAAAAAATATTTTTTTTTTTAAATCCACAAATATTTTTAAAACCAGTGAGCGGAGCAGTATAGTCGGACAGGGCTGACCATAAGATACCCTACCCAACTACCACGGAACTCTAAATTTGTGTGGATGTTTATTTCAATATTTCGTGATATTTGCACCCTCTTCACCGATTAGAGATCAATAGCATCACTTCCTTACACAGAAATATTTTCCGAATATGCCCAATAATCAGTGCAGTCCTTCTAATTACTTGTCCAGATTTCCTTCACCGAAGATTGTGTTGTGATGTTCGGCTTTCAGTTGTGGCCTATAGATAACCTTGAAAAACACATAAAAAATTATGTTATCGGTCCACTTCATCCCAATATAATTATCTGATCATCGCTGAAAATTATAGGCGTTATCCTCCATGGAAAGTTTCAATGCGATCAGTGCTTTATTTCCGCCCTCTAGTGTGATAATGGATTACTAAATAGTATCTGAATACGTACGCACCTGTAAATATTTACGTGTACCTTCCACATCCGAGTACGTACGACAATATAATTGGTATCAATTTAAAGGTCAACCATCCCTCTTGGATATACAATCAACCTCTCGACTCTATGTCCTTCAGGAGTAAATATATACGCTATAGAATAAAAATTTTGTAATTTTTCACACAGAAGCCAGGGTTCATTTGAAATTGACGGAAATTCATCAAAATATTGACGGACCTTTATAAAAACAGGCACGCTTATTCTTTGGCCCAATACCCAATACAGTGAGCGGTGCGTATAGTCGGACTTTCTTTTGTTCTGTATTCTGAGTTAGGCAATATTTCGGGAGATTTGCAACCTCTTGACCGACTAGAGGTCAAGAGCACCTCTTCATACATTGACATATATTCCGAGTATTACTAATGTTCAGTACAGTCCTTCTAATTACTTGTCCATATTCACTTTACCGTAGGTTGTGCTGTGATGTTTGGCTTTTTATTGGCATCGACCCGAAAAAACACAAAAAAATTAAATATTGGGTTCACTTCATCCCACAATTATAATCTGATCATCACCGAAAGTTATATGCGTTGTCCTTGACCATAACTGGAACCTCATGGAAAATTCAAAGCGATGAGCGCTATATTACCGCACTCGAGGTTTTGGCCATAATTACGGCCTCTGGAGCGACCAGAAAAACCGACTAAAATTTAATATTTGGTCCATTTCATCCTCTAAATACTAACCGATCTTTAACAAAAACAATGGGGGCCTTCATTTGCCAGAACCCATCCTACATGCAAAATTTCGTGTGGCTTGTATCGTGTTTACAAATTATAATGGACAGACGGACGGACACACACATGTCTAGATCGACTCAGCTAGCCGAGATATGACGATCGGTATACTTAAAGGTGGGTCTCGGACCAATATTCCGCGGCGGTACTAACTCTTGAGGCTGCACAAAGCTATAATACCCTGACAACATAGTTGTTTAGGGAATAAAAATTCACGCATTGCATTGGACCCTTAAAAAATATTTTTAAAAACTCCACATCTATATTAGAGCCTTGAAATTAAATCCCCACCTATGTTCGCCAACTTTCCTCCCTTGTGTTGTCCCAAAAATTCCCATAAATATTTTAATGCTGACAATGTAAATGTACATTGCAATCTATGTATGTATTTGTGTACGTGTGTGTGTGTGTAATTTTTATGGATGTTTGTAGCCAAATGAAAAAAAAGACAGCCAAAAACTGGAAAGTTTGTCTCCGCCTGGTATTCTCGTTGATCCTTTGTGATGGTGTTGAATCTATTCCACTCTCGACACCATGGCGGAAATGGCAAACGGAAAAAAGCTTGAAAAATTACCACTTACTGATATGGTGAATGAGTATGTGTGTGGTTATGCATATGTGGGTGTGCATGTGTTTGTCATTGTTAAGTAAAGTGTAAAGTGTGTATTATAAACGGTTTTGGTGCATAGACCATTGTGTAAA